ATGTTCATGAGTATTTCATTTAGTTTAATATTTGTGTGGTTTAGTTCATTGCTATTTTAATATGCAGAATCCGCAATTTTTGTCATTTTAAATTACTATTAATTTGACATGACAGGACAATGAAGCTTTGTGTGGCATTTTCCAAGAACATCACACAGCACATGGTTTCAGGAGCCCTGATAAACTTGTCATCTCAATGTTCCAGTACATGAAAAACCGTCATGGTCGTGTAGTTGATGATGATCCACTGCCTGAGAATTCTGCTGTCGGAATCCCTTCTCTAGCCAATGTTAGTCACAAAGATGATGATGCAATGGCTCGTGAATTTGAAGCCCCAATGCCTGCTGCTTCAACTCATACCATTGTGAAAGATATTTTGGATACCACATTGCCTGCTGCTGGCGTATTTAATGTGGAAGTTGTTGATCCGACAATGGCTGCTGCTACTAAAAATAATGATGAAGAAGTTTCTGTGACTGAAAAAATTGATTCAGATAGTGCATACAATGTTTTTGGTAGTGAGAATTGTGGTGTTTCTCAGGCAACTGTAATTATTTTTTCCAATAACTCATCAGCTCAAGGTACATAAAGTGTTTTTTGTAGCATTTTTTTGGCATTGAGTTAACTTTGTATCTCTTGTTCATACTCTTATGAATATTTTTGAGGTGCAGATTCAGGTAGAAGGAAGAGGAAGAGGAAAAACTATGCGTCACAAACTTCCACTCCTGATAGTGTAGCTTCTAGGACTCGATATGGACTATCTCAAGGTCTTGGAAAATCCCCTCTCGGTTGCAGAAAAGATGATTATGTTGAGGTCAATGTTTCTACATCTTATTCATTTTCCTTTTGTAGATAATATGTATTGTGACAAAGTTGAAGGGTTCTTGCTACTGCATATTATTATTAGCAGTAAATAATATGTATTTGTGAATTTTAGGCAAGTGTACTGGATCATGCTGGAATTGGAGGTACAAAGGATAATGATGTACTTGTTGAAGAAGCCCAAATATTAGCTTCTAAAGCTAGAACCAAACATCAGAAGCTTGAACTAAAAGTGAGTTTCTGTGTTTTGCTGTTTTTTTCTGTGTGTGCACCTCACAAATTTTTATTTTTAGCTCTATTTTTTAACACCATAAGGCTGTGTATCGCCTCTATCCATCAGTGTTCGATTTTATTTCAGTTTAGTATGTAAAGCACTAGGTTTAGATTAGATCACATTGGTTTACTAGATTATTGCTTGGATCTTTTTTGTGTGTATTTGCGTCTGGTTTAGTTCAGATCACATTCAGTTTATTTCAGTTCAATTTTATTTCAGTTCAAGTATTTTTGTTTTTTGTTGGAGCTGACTAAATTGTCATTGTTCAGGTAGGTGAAAGAACTAGTGGAGCTGCTAGACCCTCGACCGATACGATTGAGAACACTCCAGGTTTGTCCTGCTGATGAAAAAATGTTTAACAAAATCTATGATACAAACAACACACATGTTTGAGCATGGTCTCTGTGCAGGAGATGCGTCTAGTAGAAGAAATCCTATTGGTTCTCTGAATCAGAGTGATCAAGGTCTTTGTGCAGTGAAGAATGTCCAAAATGCTTCTAGTCCTAATTTGCATGTTTCAGACCCAAAAACAATTCCCTGCCATTCAAAAGAAACTCAACTGGCTGAAAATACAACTCCTACTTTGGATTGTACTGGTTAGTACCTATTTCTAGATTGCACATTTGTTAGCAGTAAATCGAAGATTTGAAATACTGCAATTATGGTATTTGACATGTGCAATATCTATTCTTTGTCACCTATAAGTTTGAACCTTCTTTACCAATTTAGTATTTGATAAAGCAGGGAAAGCACCTGTTCAGAAACCTTGTATGAAGAATAATGCTCCCTACTTTAATAGTCCTAGCATGCCATCTTTTAGAATGTTTGATGATGAGGATGATTTAGGAAATTATGTTGAAGATCCTAAACTGAGGCGTCCTGTCGGTCCAGTATCTGGTACAGCTTGTACTTCAGATGATAATCTTCAAAGAGAAGCCCGAGTGCTACCTTCTAAAGCTCCAACTACACATCAGAATGTCCAACTAAATGTGAGTTTTGTATTTTCCGTGTTTTTTTTTTTTTGTTTGAAGTCATAGAACAAAAAAAGAGTTTCTTGTAACTTGTCTTATTGTACTAACACTTGAGTTACTTTCACTCTTTGATAGGTTCAATCCGAGAGCAGCTTCTACTTTCAATTTTGCCCTGCATCAGATGGTTGGGCGTTTGTTGACCGGATGAGGTCTAATCCATTTGGTGGAGGCGATAATGTGAGCAATCAGGAAACTGTTCAGACCGAAAGAAATGACAATATTGAAACTGTAAGTTTGTTTATTAGATTGGATCAATTTTGTATTGTGACATATCTTGTGACCTCTTTTCTGTAACTAATATCGTAGTTTTTCTTGATTAGGACCTTGTGCGAATGGAGTCTTTACCTTTTACTGAGACTCCTAAAAAATTAATTGCTCCTGTTCCTCTACCTGCAATCAGCCCTTCTGGAGTACACATTGACATTGTAAAATGGGATTTGTAGTTTTATCAATTTGGAACAATTTGTTAGTAGTTGGGGCTACTCTCAATCATGTAATAGCTAGTACAAGTGCTCTCAGTCATGTAGTATCGATACTCTAGTGTACCTTAGCGGTACTAGTGGTGTATATATAGACAATGAAGGCAATAGAAGCATTTCTATTGTCCTATTCTTTATACCTCTATTATGTCAATTTTAAATCAGACATAATAGAGGTACCTATTATGTCAATTTTTAGTTTATGATTTTCGAACAAGTTTATGTTTTTTTCTTTATTTTGCAGGCACCTACACCTCTTTCATCCCATCGAAGTGGGACTTCTGTTTCTGCAAAAAGTATGAGAAGCAATGGTTTATCAGACAACTCTGAGTCCTTTTCAAACCAAGGTCCTTGGTACTCTTCTAGTGCAAAGTTAGCTATTCATCGTCCTAGGAGGACAGTGATCCCAAGCAAATACAAGTTGAGCCCTTATATGATGCCTCATTCGAAGATAATAGTCTCCAGACTTGAAACTAACATATATGAGGTTGTTTTGAAGATGGCAGAAACTGAACATTCCAAGTAAGTTTTCAATGTTTACAACGTCCTTACCATTTTCACCACTCTTGAGTAGACTTGAATCAAGTAATTATAAATTATTTTCATTTGTCTCAGTCTTGCAGTAATCGATTATGGGCAAGTGGTTGTGAAATTAAGTGCACTTGCAAGTTCTCTTAAGCCTCAAGGAAAGGTCCATTACTTTGTAGTGAATGCTTTGTGCAGATTGTTATTCCATAGAAAACACCCTAAGAATTCTTACAAGCATTATTTCTTCTCTAAAGTTGGTGTAAGTGTCATTTGTTTCTCTTTTTTTCTTAATTACATGTGGTAACTATATCAAATAAAATAATATTGACCAATCTATTTTTGTAGGACTATTTTATTGGAAATCACGGTCCTAATGATAGCAAGGAGAAGGAGCTATATGATAATGCAGTGAAATGCTTTAAGGGTGCTGGTCGTGCAAGGTCATTAGCAAACAGTCAATATGTGAGTAACACATTCTTTTAATTTTTTAAGCTTTAGCACATATGTTGTGTGCATTGCAGTTGTGCTAATAATCCCTTCCTTTTCATTTTGGGTTATTTTGTCAGCTTTATTTTCCAATTCTCTTCCATGATCGATGGTATGTGGTTGTTGTGTATATCACTCAAAGATTGATTGTAATCTTGGATTCCTATACTCTACATTTTGGAGCAGACTCACATTTCCATAAAGTTGTCCGTGATGAATTTGTAAGTGGCAGCAGCACATGGATTCACATCATTTTGTTTGAATGCAATGTGAAATTTTATTCAAATAAGAAAAAATATATATCTGCACTCTAATTATTTCCTCTACCTGCTTTTAGATACCAAACTTGACCACAGTCTGGAGTGAAGTTGTTCAAATTGACTTTGGGTTCCATGGATATGAAGTAATCTATGCAGATGTACCTCAGCAGACTAAGAAGTAGGTAGTGTACAGTCTTTTTTTTAGATCATATCATTTTGTGTGGTGCTTATAATATTCTATCTTGTCTTTCTCATATCTTTGTTTCAGCTTTAGCAATGATAGTGGTATCTTTGCGATGAAGAATCTAGAGCTTTGAGAGCTAAATGTCTATTTGATGGACAAGTTTTGTGAAGCTGATATTGGGCATCTTCGTATCAAGTACATCAATGACATGATTTTCATTGAATACAATAGTTCTGAAGATGGTCGATCTAAAGTGATGAAATATGATGCTGAGGTAGTACTAGTTGCAATGTCAATTTGTGTATTGTTCCATCATGTACTCAATTGATTTTTGTTTCTAATATTTTTTTCTCAGGTCTATGAACAGTACTATAAGAGAGCATGACCTGCGTGTTGTGTTTGGATCTTGTGTTTAGGTTCCTGTCATATAGTGTGTAGGTTGATGCTATGAGTGCATGGTACTTTGTAAAGAAGCAGCTACGTTAATGAGAATAGTTGGTGCTGAAATGGTTGTAAATATTAATCTACAGTCAAGAGGCTAAACTAAAGTGGATGATAATATTTGGTTGGATGGTTTGTTTGGATGCTTGATGTTAACTGTTTTTTGAACCATTATTCTAAGTTTATGTTCTTCTTTGTTTGTTTGTTATTTTTGTCCACTATGTGTCAGTGTAGTAACCTTTGATAGCGAAGACAAGGACAAGCTTGAGATTTGTGGAGGTCCCTCTTGTTCTTCTAAAGATGATGTCTGATCCGGTTAGTGTGTGCTTTCTCTGTTATTGTGTGCTCCAAATTGTCTCTTGTGACTTGTTTGTGCTAACACATCTTGAAATCTGTTAATTGTGATTTGTGTCAACACACACCGCCATGCTCGGCGTTGTCCCAGAGCGCTACTCATGGACTGGAGGAGAGATTGGGTTTGACACCTACTTCTCCATGGCCAGGGGCAATGCCACTGTCCCTGCTATGGAGATGACCAAGTGGTTCGACACCAACTAGTAAGTCCTTTGCCTGCTACTAATGGTAATTTCAGTTTTAGATTTTGTATTGAATATTTTTCTGACAAACTTTGTTCTACTTTTACAGCCATTTTATTGTCCCTAAATTGGGCCCTAACACCAAGTTCTCCTACACTTCTCACAAGGCTGCTAACGAATACAAGGTGGCTAAGGCGGTACGATACACTCATTGTATTTCTGTTATCTCAGTTTAATGTGCTAACCTATTCTCTTAATGTTAATTTCCTACTTGTGTACTTGATTGTCTAATGGTTGCTAATACATTTGTATTTCTTTTGACATCATAATTACCCGATAAAGTCATTTGATAGTTTAGCATGCTGGCTTCAACTAATTGAACCTCAAACTAGTAGCTGATGGTTTTGGATAGCTGGGCTGTCTTGTGGCTGTTGTAGTAGAATATCATGAACTCACATCTTTTAACTCTATTATACTATATAAGAAACCTGTGTTTAGTATCCATTTATTGATTGCACATTTATAAGTAGTAAATTGCAATAAGCTATAATGGAAATTGCAAGTATCGGGCACCGCAATTGTAATTTTGAGCGTATGCAATATGCTGGCGTTGAACTATTTGCCTCCTTGTCCTTTGTTTATTGTGATTTGTGCTAGCACACACCGTATTTTTATCCTTGTCCTTCCATAGAAAAAATTTGTTTTTATGATTTGTGTAACACATTTGAAATATTTGTCTTTGTTTTTCTGTAGTAAAAATTGTATTCTGTTTATTGTGATTGTGCCAGCACACACCTAGGACCTTCCTTGTTCTAAAATGTAGCTAATAATGGCATAAATGATCTTGTGATTTCAAATAGATGTTCCCCATCTCTTTGTTTTGCAGACTAACTCTTAAATATTAAGTCTTAAGTCACCACAATCACCATTTGTCTTTATACACAAAACCAACTCTTAAGTCTTACCTTCTATTTTTGCAGACTATGTGAGGGTGCTGAACTATTGGACCTTATTTTGGCCAAGTAAGGAGGTAGATCATATAAGACTACCTTTTTCGTTCCCAGAACTTCCTGTACTAGCTATTTGGTCACTACTTCCTGTGTCAGCAATCAGTAATATAAGTTTACTAGTTTTTGGGGTTGCGATTTTGCTAAGGCTGGCATTTTTGTAGATGTATTTGCTAGCTCTGATGTGTTTGGCAGCTGCATTTTGTAGGTAGTACTTTATGATTATATCTGTAGATCTGTTGTAGTGGTTGCTTTTGTTTGTTGCCTTTTTTATTTTTCATGTTAGTGGAATGGTGGGGTCTCGTGTGTTGGTTAGGCCCACTTGCTAACTTTTTTTTGAGCTATTTTTGGTGCTGTCCGTGGATCTTGTTTTGCATGCAGTGCTTGTTCATCTGTCAGTGATTTTGTCATTTTTGTGCTAGTTGATCTATATATTCTGCAAGTATGTCTGAATAAGTGAAGGCTAAGTAAATCTGGAAAGTTTTCATCAAATTGTCATTTAAAATTTGTGTAATCTCTTGTGGTGAGACTAATTCACTAGTTACTCTGTTGGTTGCATGCAGAGAATGTACTTGCTCCCATCCTCAAAAAAAAGAACCGAAATTTGAGAGATAGAGGTGACAGCACTTCGGTTTGTCCCTCAAATTTGTAGGTGCTTACTACATCCAATCTATATATTTGTCCCTCAAATTTTGTGTGTGTGGTTAATGGAGGAGAATGGATAATACTTTATCTATATTCATGACAAGCAACCAACTCCCAACAGTGTATGATGTCATCAAGTTCAATTATTTGGCTTGGTTGTTACTATTCTTCTTGTTGGTTTCTAAATAAATATGAGCATCCTGTCAACTATCGACTATGTTTGATATTCTGTATTTTCTAAGATAACATTTATAAGTGTTTTCTGATGAAGATTCTAATTGGGTGCTAACAGCGCAGGGATTTTTCTTGTCTGTTCTGCTTGAAGCTAAAACAACAACATTTTGGTGTGTTCAGTATATTAGGCTTGTTCAGACCATGACAATGATAGGATAGAAATCATCTTTATTTGTTTTGTTGTTCAGACCATGGCAACCACCGATTTAATTTAATGTCTGTACTACTTGGAGTTTCACAATTGCAATCATCGATAATATAAATTGGAGTTTCACAATTGCAATCACCGATAATATAAATTGCAGATATTTGGCACTGCAATTGTAGTTCTTAGCATATGTAATTTTAGATGTAAGCATAATTTAATTTAATGTCTGTAACATCATGCTCATTACATAAATTACATAAATATGTTGGCTTCTTAAATTTTGCTTCTATCTGTCGATCATTGTGAAATGATGCATGTCTTTGATCACCGTGTCCTTAGTGTGGTGTGGCTTCGGGATCAGTGCTACCATTTGATGTTTCCTTCCTCTTTTTTTTGGCTTCACCGGGGAGCCTACGAAACATTATTAGTTCACATAAATAAGAATTTTTGCATTTGAATTCAAATTCTATTTGTATGTCCTTAAATTTTATACCTGCACTGTTTGTGTCATTTGTTTTCTTCTTTTCTGCTGCCACCAGTTTCTTCTTTATTTCTTCTATATGTGTCTTCATTCTGACAGGTTTAGGTGGCATTCCCTTTCTCCGAATTCTTTCTGGATCATCTATTTCAGTCTGTGGATCTCCAGCTTGTGTTGCTATAGTGTGTCCTTCTTCATTTCCTTGCTGGTCATTTTGTGCTTCACCTGTTTGCTGAGCATATAGCATTCTATCTAAATTGATTTCCATCTTGTCGAATTATGCCATAAGGTATTCCATGGCTTTTTTATTTTTTGATCCTTTTGAATTCAGTATTGTTGATCTCCTGGATAATATGTTGAATCTCAACAATGAGCTTGTTTCAAGTGTTTCTTCTTTTTGTCTTTCAACATGTACCTTCATATCCTTTTTTCTCCACCTATCTAAGAAGTATTTGTCTAGAATTGTGTTGATTTCCTTTTCAATGACTATTTTTAGGATATGAGAGCAGAGTATGCCATCTTTGTTGAATTTTGCACATATGCAGGTAAATTCTTCTTCTCCTTGTGTTAGTTCAGTGTTTACTGTATATCTCCTGAACCTATGAACCTCCTGAATCTGGTTACTTTTTTGCCACACCTCAAATGTTTTTTCATCTTCAGTTTCCCTGTAGTTCAGCCTTGATGTTGCCTTCAGTTGTAGCTGAAACTTTTTGAATATGTTTCTCTTGTATAGCTGTTGTGCCTGCTGCTCTATTCTGTAGCCGAATATAAATTCCTTTGGCCTTTTCTGCTTGCTATAGCTGTCCTCTAGCCTTTCTGCTCGATTTATGGTATGAACAATCCGATTGTACTCTTTCAAAAAGCTGATGATACTATAGGTTGGCCCTACATTGTCTTTGAACCTCGCATTTGTTGCCTCACTCCTGGATGTGGTCTGGATGAAAGGGGAAAAGTCATTTTTGTAGTAGACCGGGATAAACCTTTTCCTCATTTCCCACATCTTGGAAAAGTAGTTATTCTCTTGAAGGTTTCTTTCCTCAATCATTATCTTCCAAATTCGCTCAAATTCTTCCACCATTAGACTATTGTTCACTATATCTTCGAAGTCTTCATATAGTCCTTCGTTTGCTGCAAAGACCTTGACATTCTTATTGTAGCATTTGGTCTTTATGTGGAACAAGCAATTTCTGTGCTTTGTGTTTATGAAGACTTGCTCTATTGCTGATTTCATCGCCATGTCTTGGTCTGTGATGATTGTTTGAGGGTGTTTTCCTCTCATTGCTTGAAGGAAAGTTTGAAATACCCACTTAAAAGTGTCCATTGTCTCATCATGCAGGAAAGCACATCCAAAAAGGCAACTTTGCCCATGTCCAGTGATTCCAACAAATGGTGCAAAAGGTAAGTTGTATCGGTTGGTCATATATGTTGTGTCAAAACTTACATATTCTCCATAATCTGCATAATATTTCATAGAAGAACAGTCTGTCCAGAACAAGTTTCTCACTCTCTTGTCCTCATCTAAATCAAACTTGTAAAAGAAAGACGGATCCTCAGTTTGTTTCTTTCTTAAATAATCTAGTACTTGTGTCATATCTGATCCTCTAACTTCTCTGTTCAGCCTTGTCCTGTAGTTGCTGATATCTTTCTTTTTCATCGGTATAGCTGTAAGCCCCCCTCTAAGATACGATAGAATAGAAACCATCTTCCTAGTCGGGATATTGTTATCGTTCAGAGTCTTGATAAGTCCTTCTTCTATTTCTGTCATATACTTGTGACCAAAAAATAGTTGATCCCTGTCTCCAGGGCATAGCTCATGATTATGCTCCAAATCAAGAGTTTTAACCTTCCATACAACTCCTTCTTCTTTCACCATCATAACACAAGGATAATATGACTTCTGTTGAACATTTGTTTTCCTTCTTCTTACCGGTTTCTTTCCAACATCCTTGTCTACTTTAGCTTCTTCTTGCTCTAAACACTTTGGTTCCTTTTCTTTTCCTTGACGAGTGCATCTCATTGTTACTTTGACTACCTCATTATTTCTCTTCTTACTTTGAGTTCTTGTTGTATGTGTTATGGCAACTTAAAATCCAGCTAGGAACGCATAGAAGTTGAAGAAATAGTGAGCATCATCCCTACTTTTAAATTCCATCGATAGCTATGGGGTGTACTTGCTGTTGATTGGTGCATTGTTGCCTTCAGATGCTGCAACCTGCTCATTTTTTATGAATTCTTCAATCTCTTCCTCTGTCAGTTCCTGGCTGCCATTTACATGTTCATTATCATCTGTTACTGTTGATGTAATATTTGAACTTGTTGGTTCTACTGCTATAATCCTCAAGTCATTTTCTCCCATTGTTGGTTGGTCATCTTGATTTTCATGCTGCACCTGTAAATATATTAGCAGCAGTCTCAGTTTCTGAGTAATGCGATTTATAATAAAATATTTTTTTTAGTGTGGACTGAAATAGTTGAAGGGATTATTTTTTATCTACCTCATCAATGTCCATGTTATTGAATATATCAGTTTGCCAATGGTATTGTTGAATTTCAGATCTATCATCATTAGCTATGCTTGTCGTTGCTCCATCATCATCAGCGATGATTGCCATTTCTCCATCCTGTTTTTGCAAAGATAAGTTTTACTTTGATGCCAGTACATATTTGTATTGGTTATAAATGTAATCAAACTAGCTCAGCTGTCTGTATGTACCTCATATGACAGCCTTGAGTCTGATATTGACCAGTCAGTTTGTGGTCCAAAGATTCCATCTAGATCTTCAAGTCTCATATTCTGTTTTATTTGTTTGATAATGAGAATGGTTACCATTTATAATATAACACAACTAGTCTTGTTGCTGCACAGTTTATAATGAAGCCTTGAAATTAAAGTACTGTTATGCTGAAATTACATTGCACATATGTGTGTAATTTACATATGTGTGAATTGTAATTTGTGTACTGGTATTATAAAATTTTACCTGTGTATTCCAGTCAATTTGATCATCTTCCTAAGAGTTTCTGATCTGTTCCATCATAAGTTCAGTGTAGCCTCCCTGCATTGAAATATATTCTAGTCGAAAAACAACCTTCTTATGTTGGCATTTTTTTGATTCTAAGCAATGATTTTGCTCACCTTTTTGTATCTGTAGGTATTTGAAAGGTCACTGGAATAATTTGTGCCTGCAAATATTTGGTAAGGAGCTAACTGCACTTCCTTAATTACTTCTTGTGATTTCACTGATGTTGGATAATCATCACATCTACTTGTTGTGACATACATATTATTCTGCTTCATAAAAAAAGCAAGCAAATGAGTACTTACATAGTTTTTCATTGCATCATTGAATTGTGTTTCTTACCTCAAGTAGTTGATCAAACTCGACTGGTGCTTGTATTAGTTGCATAAGGGAAGCAATTGAAACCTGCAAGAAAATGAAGAAGCCATTAGTTCTCATTTATTTATTGTTTGTGTCAACTGTTTTGAATTAGGAGTAATTTTACATCATTGTTGCTTTCTTCTTGGCGAATCATATCCTCATAATTGTGAATCTGATATTGTGCCTCTAACATTTCCTGCAGCCTTGTTCTTCTTTCTAGATTCATGTTCTGTTAAAACATCCAGATTTCATATTTTGCCAGTTAGAAGGTTTGTCATCATTACATATTCCATGCATCTAACATACAGTAGGGCTATTGTAAGTAGTTAGAATTAGCTATAAATAGGAAGCATAGTTTGTAGTGTTATTCATGCTACCATCATTGGCTTGCATATTTGTTTTTGAACACAATAAATGTATAGCACTAAAGGAATTACTAACTAAACTTGCAGAAGCTGTGGCGGATGCTAACAAAGCAATTGAACTTGATCCTACGATGCATAAAGCCTACTACCAGAAATGGTTAGTGGCACTCTTCTTTTTTGAATAAAAGTTATACATGAACACTCCCATAATTCCATGTGCTACATTTTTGTCTATGTACTAAGGTTTACTCGTCTATTGAAGGAATGCGAAGAGCGCATCGCTGGTGATCAAAATAAACTTCAGCTAGTGTTAATAAGAAATAACAGTGAGCCCACACCAAAATTTTGTCCTTGTCATTTCATAGAAAAAAAATTGTCTCTTGTGATTTGTGGTAACACATCTTTCAACTTTGTTACTTGTGATTTGTGCCGACACACATCTCATTTTTGTCCTTGTCATTTGTGCTAACACATGTTGAAGTTTATCAATTGTGATTTGTGGCATGTTAATTGTGAATGTTTTTGCTCTCAGCGGTGAAGCTAGAAGATTGACATGGTCCACTCAGCTGTGTATAGCCTTGGATAGGTCTTTTTGAGTTAGAGTGAGACGTGCACATTTTTGTACTGATCCTGAGATATCATTTAGCTATATATTAGGTCTTGATTCTGTACATATACTGTAGAATAGTAGGAGCTCTCATATATTTTAACTGTGTGTTGCATATAGTGTACAAAAGGCTACGTTTAGTATCCATTTCTTCATTGCACATTTATAAGTAGTAAATTGCATACTTCATTTTCAGCAATTATGGTGCCCAACATGTGCAATATGTAGTCCTGATGAGAAATAATATTGCTCTAACATGGTTCAGTTACATGGTAGCCTGCTTACTTTTGGTAGCCTCATCTTGTCTTCAGTAACTCATGTGTTGTTCTTGTTCTGAGCTTAAATGTAGATCATCAGTTACATGGTAGAACATGTCATGGGTACAAGCTCATTTGGGATTCTCTTCCAGGTATGGTGTGCTTGGTTGTGGGGGCTCTTCTTTTGTAGGTGCAACATATATTGAATTCGTGGGGCCTGAATTATTTATGATTTGTGGCAACACATTTCAATATTTTGTCTATCATACTATAGATTTGCTGAGGCACTTATGGATTTGCTCTCCCTAGCAACTTATGCCATGTGCTGGTTTTTTTGTATGTATGATCGAAAGGGTCTCCCGAGCCATTTCTGTGACACTTACATACTGAAGCAAGACGCCATTATCACCTTGCTGGATGAGAAGGATGAAGAATTCGACACCAACTACCTTGCCTACAAGAAGGGGCTAAGTGGCGGATGGGCTGGTTTTGCACTATGCCATAAGGGAAGTGTTTCTCTACGACCTCGTGAGGTTTGTAGCTTTTGCTGGAATCTAAAAATGTTGCTTTAGCGACGAGGAAACCTATTTTGTTTGGCTTCCTTTCATCCTTCAACCTAATATATCTAGATGAAGTAATATGTAGATGAAGTAATTGGTGTGACAGGAAGATAATCTCTCTTCTTGCCTTGTCATCAAATGTCAGATGCATTAGGTACATTAGTCTTCTGATTAGTGTGAACATAGGATAACAGGATCAGGGTAATATATCAGGCACCTGTGATTTGGGGTTTTGCATATATAAACACATGTCTTCATCTAAAAAAATGAACCTGATCCAGATGGTACTTATTGTCTTTCAGTTATGAAGCAGATGGCATGGCTAAAGATTTCATGCCTCTCTATTCACTAAGAGGTAATCACTCTCCATTCTATGTTGATGTTGCTTTTCATACTTGTTTTCTACATTACTAAGGTGTAAGTCAACCTATAGCTAGCACCTTGCCTTCAAGACAAGGGTCGAATCTGAGAATATAAATTTATTTATGATTTCTAGTCATTGAGTCTCAATAAAAAGGTCAAGAGTGGAAAATTTAAATAACTTTAGAGAAACAAAACAAAACACATATAAGCTTCACTTTACCTTTTTTCAAAAATGCTTGTTTAATCAAGATAATTACATTAACAAAGAAATACCGATTCTTGATATTTGAAATATGCAATTTGTTTTTAGGTATTACAGATTTTTATTTTCTGAGTTCCTTAATTTGCGAATCAGTATTTCGATTTACGAATTTGGTTGCAAAGAATACTAGCAATCTTGGATTACATCTTTACGAGGAAGTCGGTGTGCTTACCTTGGCTGTTGAGGTTAGTGGTTCCTCTTGAATGTGTTGGTTGGTTGCCCCATTCCTCTGGTCTGCTTGCCCCCACGCAGAGGAGATCTTCATCTTTGATCTGCCGATTGTTTTCTCCTTTTCCCTGCTCTGATCTGATCTCATCTCCACGCAGAGCAGTGCTTTGCTTGCCCCCACGAAGAGATCTGATCTCCACAGAGGGCAGAGGCTTCCCCCTATGCCCCCACGAAGAAAACTGATCTCCACGAAGAGGCTTCCCCACGAAGAGATCTGATCTCATCTCTGTCTTCTTAGTTATTGGGCTCTGGGCTAAACTAGGCCTCTCTGTCTTCTTAGTTAGTGGGCCGCTCTGGTATGTCTTTATTGGGCTGAACAATTGTTGTGGGCCTTGTTTGCCTGATGGAATTTGTGTGTTGCATTCTCTTAAAACACATGTTTTTTCCAGTGTTTCAATTCATGTGTTTCTTAGGCATCTAACAACCATGTGCTAACTAGTCCAAAAACACATGGTTTTTCCTATGTTGAAATCTGTGTGTTTTTCATACAACCAACACCCATATGTTGGTTTATGTTAAAACACACGTGTGTACAGTAGACATGCGTGGTTTATGTTAAAACACACGTGTGTACAGTAGACATGCTCTTTTGTTTCTTTTGGTAGTCTTACCCCCCGTCCCTTCACCTCCTCTCCTGTGTCGCTTTTAAATACCGAAAGCCGTCCCCCTCCCTTGCTCACCCCCATCCGCTCACCCCTCCCTGACCCCTCTGCTCCCTCTCGCTGCCGCCTCAGCTCCCCTATCCTCCGTCGTTTCCGTCGTCGGCGAACCAACCCACCCGCGTAGATGAGCGACAACGTCCCCGCTGTCGACGCGGAGGTGCGCCGCGCCTTGGTCCCCTGTCCTGGTGGCTCCGGGTGCACGTGCCTCTCCCACCCGTAGACGAGGGTGCGTCCCCAGGGCTCTGGTTCTCCGTCGAGGAGCGCCTCGGCGAGGAGCGACGGCTCCAACTCCGATGATTCGTCGGAGAACAACGACAGCAACGACAACGCCACATCCGAGGTGCAGCGTCGATTCCCGTCCTCCATCTTCACCACCGTAGGGTTTTAGTATGAATCCAAAATTCCAATTTTTCCTGACCAACTAGTTCGATTAGTGTTGATTTATGCTGTATTGTTGACGGTTAGGTGCCTGTTACTACTGGATTGTGCACACAAACCCTAGGATTCATTCGTTCGTGCGCATTTCTGGTGGATTTGTGACCAAATTGGGGTTTTCCCCTGTTCTTCCTAGGAGCAAAGCGAGTCAGTAGTCCCTGACGGTGTCATCGAGCATGATTGGGCCGGGATGCATGTTGTGTGGCTTCGCAAGTGCGAGCATGGTCGCCATGCCATTCTGAAGAGGGCATGGGGTGGGAAGCACACAGGCAGACGCTTCTTGGGGTGCCCACTGAAGGTTTGCCTACAATCTTTCTGTCATTTTTCATTGCAATTGTGTAGTTTTCATCTTATCCGTCACTGCATGATGGTGTCCCTATTGACCAAGTTACTGAAACTACAATTGTGACACGCGGGAAGAGGCGGATCAATGCCAGTTTGTGGAATGGCAGGATGAACCCTGGCCTGAACGGGTTTAGGAGTGCCTGAAGGAACTCTGGAAGGAGATCAAAACCACCCGGCGTTGTGAAGCCACAGCTAATGAAGCTCTGATCGATGCTATCCGCTGCAACGATGTGGCCAACAATGCTAGGGTGGAGCTGCAGGAGGAGGTGAACTGCACCAGGCGTGTTGCTGAGCGCATCTGTCAGGTTTACCACCAGAAGGCTTCTCTCGCAGCTGTTGACAAGTGCTAAGTACTTGAAAATACAATTACATGCCTTAGACCTTGTACAGCAGGTAGGCCTACAACACAACCAACACCAACAGAAAAACAAGCAAAGCATCCTTAGTAGTCAACCTAGCTATCTCCTTGCTGTTGTCGGGCCCAACTCCTGCTTCTTCTTTCAGTTTAACTTCTTCAACTTTGTTTTTGAGGGACCAACCTGAAAGCATTTAGGCCCCTAGTTGAGTTTCGGTGATTAATGACAATACAAGATTACTATGTCTAATGTGTGTTTTGCAGAGACAATTAAGTTAGGTCATGGTAATGGAGATCGATTGGGCAATCAAGGTGGTCATGCCTCTACGATGGAAATCGTTTCGGTTTTCAAAGGATGGACGACAAGGTTAAGGATGGACTAGTTCTAAGTGTCGATTAGAGTTGGAGAGACACTTAGAGTAGTTTAGGACTTTGTTTTTCCTTTGGCCGTACTATTAAGGGGGTATGGACGGGTAGCTTGACCTATGTGAGTCTAGTGAGTTAAGTGTGGTGCACACTTGTTAAAACTAGCACTAGGTAGCTCCAAAATAGCCCTTTGATCCAATGGAGCAAACTTTATTCACATATGATCGAGAGTTGGCAGTGAATGGAGGGTCAAATACTGACCGGACGCTGGCTTCGGTGCGACCGGACGTTGGCTCAGGGTCCGGTCAGTTTATTTGACCAAGGTGGTTGCGTCTGGTTTGACCGGACGCTGAGAGGTCAAGTGACCGGACGTTGAGAGGCAGCGTCCGGTCGACTCCAGTAAGGTTCCAGAGAGGGAAAATTGCGACCGGACGTGCCCGGTCAATGCTGAAATGGAGAAAAGTTGTATGTTTGCACAGGTGTTTTGTTTTGTTTTGCTATGGGATGTCAGATAAGTACTATGGTGCAAAGGCCACCTTTAATGTGTGGGAGCAGGCTGACGAATTTAGCTTATCCTAGCTCTGGATTTTGAGGGGAATCATTTGGGGAGGATCTCAATAGCGTAGAGGCGGTTGGCAGGTATTTTAAAGCTGAGTTTAGTAGTTCAGCTTGCTCATTCTTGTGTCAAGTAAAAGTTGACTATTTTTAGCAGTTGCTTGCAACTTTTAAGTGTGTGTCATTTATGCGGTGTTTGGTTCAGTAGGTTAGCCCTGACCTCTATGGAGACAACAATACTAGGTTGTTCACATACTGGACTATAAGTCTCACAAATACAGTTTCTCTTGCTCATATTATTGATGTGCTTCAGTACTTGATTAGCAGACATTCTAGCAATGATGCATCATCTCATTCATTGCCGCATTGCTTTGCTATTGTCTATTATGCAGAGTGATTCATACCAGGCCACAGGATGCTGCAAAGGGTGCAAATGGTATCCCTACTCTCCATACTGTTCTTGTTCTACTGTTAACTATGACATGCCATCTACATGTTCATAACACAACTCTGTAGATGCCAGAAATTCCTTCTGCCTCAGATGTAGACAATGACGAGTGGTCCGAAGTACGAAGATTGCAGACAAGGTAAATTTTGCATTATAAATAACTAACCAACCATTAGTGCTTGAAAAAAAAACTCAACTAGGGTAGAAAAATCCCCTAATTTCGTTCTTAAGAAGACTGCGGGAGAAGTTGGCTAGAGCTTGAAAAGCAATGCAGCACACTTAGCACTTGTTTATTTACATCTACTTTACAGCCCTATGATTTCCAGTTGCTGGGAAAGTAGAGCGTGAACCATGCAGCTGCGACTCCTGCTTGCCGGACTCGTCCATTCAGTTCGTCTGGTTCTGAAGCTCTCCGTGTGATTCAGCTCCAGAGTATAGCAGCATGTTGTTTCCTTCATGGTAATTCATGTTTTAGAGATGTTAGACAGGTTAGGTTTGCCTTATGATCTATGTAACCAAACTGCATGTATTCTGAAAACAATTTCCTTTTAGATTGTTTTGATCTCACATTGTATTCTAATTATTCATCCTTCGTGAAGACTTATGTAAAAGTGATGTTGCAATTGCAAACATCACGCTCGAAATACCGTTTTTTGGGTAACAGTATAACACGTTCATATTTACATTATTATGGTACTATATATATAAATACATTTTGCCCTTTACAATACATGGGCATTTATTGTTTTTTAGTAACAATATAACACACTCATATTTACACTATCATGGTACCTTTTTTTTCTTCGTTGCAACGCACGGGCATTCACCTAGCTGATCTTAAAAGGATGCGCAATTGAACGGAGAGGGGACACGCTATTCCTTAATCTTAAAAGGATGCGCAATTGAATAGTCACTGAATCAGTGAATCAGTGAATAAAATTGTGAGAACAGCATCAGCGAATGTACTATTAAAAGCGTTTAAATATTCAACACGAGCGTTCTCTGCTGCGGAATGGTTGTGCAGCGGCTGCTGCCAAATTAGCCATCCATCATGAGCTCAATAAAATTCATCCATTCAGAGGAATAACAAATATAAAGCTCAGTATTCAAGTTCCGGCAAAAGGGTAGAAATCGTACAGTGTTTGCTTCGGCAAACATCTCAATAGCCAAAGCCAAGTAGCATGACAGAGCTACGGCTACCAACTATTCGCTCCATGAGCTCGATAGTCAATGCAAAATTTCTTTCATCACTTGTAGTGTAGTGAGTACATAGCACTGTTTCCTGGTCATCACTTGTCAGAAGTGTAGTGAGTACAGAATACAACCTCGCCATCATCAGGTCAGCATCTCCCGTGGAGTTCAGTACAGTCACTTCTGTACAGGTCAGCAGCTCCCACTAATCAATCAATTTCTGTGATGCTGAAACAGGATGAAGAAAGAAGTCACAGATCACATAACAGCTGCAAAATTGTAGAAGATAGTCACTCCACATTACCCCGGTAACAACTCCCTATATCAAATCAAATGTAATCAAGACAGATTATGAGTTGCTCACAATTTTTTTCCCCAAGAGCAAGATCTAGCTTTGCTTACCTTACTTCTTATCCTCCTGTTTGAATCGTATTGCATCATCAGAGGGAAAGAATCTTGCAAATCTGCAAACATTGAAACCATTACTTGCAAATCTGCAAATCTTGCCATGCACACATTGTAAGGCGTTGTAAGCATGAGCAAAAGCAGACATTACCATACAATATTCAGTGCACAAGCAGACATTAGCATACAATATTCAGAGCAAAGGGCACGCAGCATGAGCAAAAGCAGAGCACGAGGCATTAATAAATAAGATACCTCTTCAACGCGGGATAAATTGCCCCTCGATTAGCCTTGCCACGTAAGCCTTTTTTTTACTGTTACAGCACATCTTAGGTTATCAATGAGCATATAAAAATTGACTTCATACAACTCCGCTTCCTCATGTTACATTAAAGGGTAATTTTGCAATATACTCATTAGTTCTTCTTGCTACTATGCTTTCTGGACATACAGTTAGGCTTATCCTACATATAGGATGCCTGGTTTGTCATCACAAACGGTTTGTTTGGCATGTTTGAAGACTAAAAGCAGTTTTTGTAGCATGGGAAGAAATGAAGGTTATAATTCAACAACAAATTGGCTGTAATTCAGTTTGTCAAAAATTTAGAGCTGATAGAATTTCGAGGAAAGATCGATGAGCTCAGCAAAATTGAGATGCAAAAACTCCACCTTGCACTTACCACTTCATTTTAGTTTCTAACTACCGTTGCGGCCCCCACATCGATGCTACTGCTGCCACAGGGAACAATACCTATAGTTTTATATGGTAATTTGTTTGCAATCTAAAGACGCACGTGCTTATACATGTAGTCGATTTGTAAAAGACAATAGGAGACAAAACTTTCATCCATTCTATAGCACTGTCTTTGGTTGATTCCTTTTCATATGCATCTATAAAGGGCGTACCCAGTGCAGAGAGCTTCCGCTCTGTGCGGGGTCTGGTGATGGGTGTCAGTGGCAAGCCTTACCTTCGCTTGTGCAATGCGAGAAGACCGCGACTCGAACCTAGGACCTTCCGGTCACAGACGGTAAGACTCTACCGCTTGCACCGGGCCCACCCTTCCTCTTCATATGCATCTATGTTTCTCAAAATGCTTCCTCCATGTGCTCTTAGATACATATGCATATATACAGTGTCCACACTTATCTTCCTCAAAGCAACTTTTGGTTCTTCGTTCAAAGAAGTTATTTAGTTTTGAAAACTAAAAATGCAGTTTTTTTACCTGCATATCTTTGAGCCCACATATGGTCATTTTTTACTATTTTTGGTCTTAAACATTTACCACTTTCTTTGTCTACATGTTTCCTCTTTTGTAGCTTATCATCTCTATGCAAAACGAGACCGTTCCTATTACCTAACAGTACACTAATTCTGCCTTTTGCATTGTCCCTGCCTCTTTGAGACTCCATACAGACCAATTTGGTGCTCCATAAACTTACTGTATGAGTTTATCCTTATAGTCAACTGGACTCCCTTACGCTATGCAAACCATGTATGCATGTCTTCTTATTAGCATTACTTATAGTCAACTGGACTCCCTTACGCAATGCAAACCTAATGATCTGCTCCATGTGTGTCAATCCATGCATTGATCTTCATGCCCACGACAGATCTCGCATTAGGAGGCAGCTCACATGTAACGCTTCTCCTAAATATAACTAAGTACATGGAACCACATTTAGATTGTACCTTACTGCTGTTTCTTTGCCACCAAAGAAATTAAGCTTGATAAGCCTATCCATATCCATGCAGGTATAAGATGTGCACAACGTCTGCTGACGCTGACCAGGTCGGCCTAACCTACCTGCTTTGCATTTTATTTGCCTTCAGGGATCCTATGATGGCCAACAATAATACTGCCCCCTCTTACAGCTTTGCTACCAACCTACAGCATCTGCTTCTTTCGTGCAACAGATCACTTTTTTAATGTAAATTAATCGACCATGTTGTTCCCATCTAAAAGCTATTTGAGTCATTTGTTCATTTCTATCCATAGAATATCAGACATCATGTTCTCCAATCTCTGTAAAGAAACAGTTATGGAATAAAAAGTTTTCATTTTACCATAGATAAAGCTACAATCCACAGGTCCCAAATTTGCTACTCAGAACAATTTATGCAATTAAATAAGGATGCAGTGGTACAAACAGAACTACAGAAGTGGTGTCCAGTTGTACAGCTAGGCTTATTACATCAATGCAGTCATAAATATATACTAGTATATTACTGATACATTTGATTAATAAGTGAGTAATAAATTGATTAGAGTATGTTAACATACGTACCATTATAAAGTATGTATTCATAATATAAGTAATACATATTCATACTTTTTCAGGAGTGTATATATACATAGTTTTTTCATGAAAGGAGTACATATTTATACTTCTTAAAAAGGAGTATGGGAGGAGTATACATGGCGGCGTTTATACATGTGAAGTATGTGTGTATTGAAAAAGTATGAGTAGATACATTTTCAGGGATAGTACGAATACATACTTGTTTATATACATGAGTATATATATATTCTGGATGAGTGTGAAGTATGAACACATACATTTCATGGAACTTAAGAATCAAGGTATCTATGCATACTTGTTTTTTAATGTTTTTTTTGTTTCATTTCTTAGTCACCCTTTTAGGTTTGAATGCACTCATAAATCCTATATTTTAGTTATATAATAATTTTTTCCTTTTTCTCAATTATTTGTTTTTTTTCTAGTTGTTAATTTTTTTTAGTCACTGGTAATTTCAGTTTCAGTTATTTTCACTAGTTTGTACTATTGAGCCACTTGTGGTGAGATCTATGAAATAAGACTGATGTATGTGTTTCAAAATAGTTTGTATGTACTCTCAATTTATGTTATATAGGTAATAGCTATTTATGTATTAAGCATGTAGCAACCTATATATTAACCTTCCAACAAATTATATATACTAGCAAACGTGTAGCAACTTATGTATTAAGCGTGTAGCAATTTATTTGTCAATTTTGGTTTTCATTATTTGTTGTCATTTTCAATTCTAGTTAATTGTACTTTCAGTTTTAGTTTTCTTTGAAGTTTTTTTCATATAGTGGGTTTTATAATAATTTGCTCCTCTAGTTGATAGCTTATCCAATGCTCGTTCTAATAATTTGTCTCAGGTTGAAGCTTGTCTTGTTTTGTATCGCTACCCTTATTTTTTAATGAATGCCTATAGTTGACAGCAAGTCATGTTTTCTGGCTTTTTGTAATTTGTTGTATAATAACTTGCCCCGCTAATTGGCAGCTTATGCAATGTTTATTAAATAATTTGTCTCTCCATGTTGCAGCTTGTCTTGTTTTGTATCGCTACCCTTATTTTTTAATGAATGCCCATAGTTGACAACAAGTCATGAGAAGGAAGTCCTTCGAGGAAGATATCATGGGATTTTAGTCGATCGTACCTATCCCATATAGCGAGTCCAGCGGAGAGATAATTAATAATGATTAAAAATTATTTACTTGATGGATAACTGAATACTGGATATCATGTACATATCGGGTTTAATTGTTTCTGACCCACTAACGGTAGTAAAGCGTGGAGTACAGGATTAGGAGGAGGGAGTAACTACTCCTAGGGAGTAGGAAAAAAATTTCCTAACTTTTTATATTTTGTATAAGTTTTTCCTTTTAGCACTGTTGTTGTTGTTTATTATGTGATGAAATGTTCCATGACACCTCACTCGCTATTTTTTTCCTTCTCTGCAGGGGGTAATTCATTGACAGTCCGATTTTCAGTTTTCCATGGGCACCATTCAACATCTATGTTCGTTGGGTCACTTCAATATAATGATGCTGCTCCTCATGATTTATCTAAGTGCGAAGGCTTCAACACCCACATTGAAGAATATTTCAATCGCTTTTATGCTTTTAAGTACAGCAAAGTCCCCGGAACTGGCATAGAGTCTTCTCCTTAATTTAATATGACTTTTTCGGAGGTGTTCTATTGACATTTGTGTCTCGCATTCAAGGTGTTCGCAAGGTCACTGATCGTATGTGTTGGTGATACTTTCCAGGCCAAAGCATGCTACAAGACTATCAAAGAAAAACACATCTTTCTTAGAGGAAAAACAGTTAGAATTCTTGACGCTGGTCTTACAAATTATACACTGGAAAAAGCAGTCAGAAATCTAAATGCCATTGGGCGTCTCCTTGAGCAGCTGCTCATGAAGAGAGGGTTGGAGAAGGACTTTCCTGCTGATCTTACAGAAGTCTTCACCTGCTGGACAGGAATCCTTTCAGAGACAATGGTGATCCGGAAAAGAACCCCGTCAAGGACTATGACATAATTAAGAACAATATATGTTGGATGGATGGAGATGAAAGAAACCATGTCATTAATGATCTGCATGGTTTCTTTCATCTCCATGTCATTAATAAACAAATAATTGAGAAAAAAAAGAAAAAAGTTATATAACTAAAATGTAGGATTTATGAACGCATTCAAACCTAAAAGGGTGACTAAGAAATGAAACTAAAAAAACATTAAAAAACAAGTATGCATAGATACCTTGATTCTTACGTTCCATGAAATGTATGTGTCCATACTTCATACTCATCTAGAATATATATATACTCCTGTATATAAACAAGTATGTATTCATACTATCCCTGAAAATGTATCTACTCAAAAATTTTCAATACACACATATTTCACATTATAAACGCCGCCATGTATACTCCTCCCATACTCCTTTTTAAGAAGTATAAATATGTACTCCTTTCATGAAAAAACTATATATATATACACTCGAAAAAAGTATGAATATGTACTACTTATATTATGAATCCATACTTTATAATGGTCCATATGTTAACATACCCTAATCAATTTATTACTCACTTATTAATCAAATGTATTAGTAATATACTAGTATATATTTATGACTGCATTGATGTAATAAGCCTAGTTGTACAACAATAATATACCCTACAGTATGTGTACATACTCTTTTACCTATGTATATTTATATACTGGATACAAAGTAATAGGGCCGACCAGCCCGACGTACGTCAAAAGCAAAGAATTACACAACCTGATCCGCTTTTACAGGGAAAATAATCAGCATGCATCCCCTGATTGTTTTTTTCCCGCATACATACTATATGCGGAACCCCCGCACTCAACCCATTAGCTCTCCCAACCCGATAGCTTCTCCTAATTGGCCGGAACCTGCAAACGGTGTGCATACTCCAGAGGTGGGAGTAATTACTCCCGGGAGTATAAAAAATGCACCCAAAAAGTTATTAATAATAGTAATATTACATAAAAAAAATGAAGTTACCTGAAACATCAAGAACTTCTCCACGTCCAAAAAGTAATAAATGTTGTCTGGGCACTGAATCTCAACTGGTTTCAAAACAAACGTAGCAAAAACTTGCTTCAGTGACCCTTCTTTATCAGCACTGGGTAAAGAATTTATCTGCATTGAAGTATTGCCAAGAAAATGTAAATCAGCCTGTAGTTATTAGCAGATCTGTACTCTGTAGAAAGGTGAATCAACGGATCTAGAAAATTACAAAAGGGAAAATGTACTTTTGGTTTGATTAATTAGAGAAAAATACATGGACGGGGGTAATTTTATACATCTGATTCAATAAGTGAAACACAGTAGTGGAAAGTTTTACAAGGTTTAAACTCTTGTTCGAAATATCAAATGGAGATTTGTTCATAGAGTTCACAAAATTAAATGATCATGGACTACCTTCTAAATTCGAAGGTAAATCTTTCCTGAGGTCCTTGTGAATGCATACAAGTAATCTTTAGCACAGTTAATGTTGGCATCAGGTTTACTGAATACCTGCAAGGGAGAACAAGATAAGCTATGCATGTTATATTGTTGCTATACATGCTATATGGTTGTTGAGCATTTCACATTTAATTTTTTTCCCCCTTTACCTCAAACAGCAGCATCTTGGTGTCCTCCCACTTCCCACCATTACCAAACCCTTCAGAGAAAACTAATAAAGGGTTCTTTATCTCAGTTTCCTCAGGAACAGCTCCAAAACCTATGCATTTTCCAAGATAAATTAGCAGGATATTCAAAAGAGCAACAAGAGAGATAATATAATCAACAATAGAACAAATAGAGATTTCTATACCAGCTACAACAAGTAGCTCAAATTTGAGGAGCTGTCTTGATTGACTGCGAGCATGTATGAAGTAAGTTTCTTCCTCCTCAGACCACTGTACAACAGTTAAAGAAAATTAATGTAAAAGGTTTAAAGGAGTAAACCCAAATGTGAGACAAGAGATTTAGCTAACCTCCATGTAAACCCCAGCATTGTTTGCATCACTTTCAAGAATTTCCTGCATATTGTCGGTGGCTCTTAAGTCCGTCTTCTTTGCTGTAACTAAAGCTGCTAAGCATGCTAGCTGTCCCTTGTGCCTATAGATTGTTTGAGGCTTATTATAGTGAACAAACATAAAATATGAAAGCATACAGAAAAACGAAGAGTAGGAAAAAGTAGCACAACCAACCTATCACTCATTTTGCTGTTGTGGCCAAGGGATACCACATACTCCACCTTTTTCTTCTTTGGCTTCGCGTCTTCCCTGTTCGAAGACCCGTCAGGTTTCCTGTTGGACTCAGAGCGACGCTTACGAGTATCCTTTGCAACAGCCCTGCCCTCCTTCTCCTCCTCCTTTGCCATGGTCTACATCAACCAGGTACCAGACAGAAAAGAACATGATCGTTTTGTAAACACCAGATAAACAAATTACACAAATGGCACTTTGCAGATCTAGTATATGAGGCATTGTGGCAACAGCAAGTCAACACATGAATTAGGACTGCTTCACAAACTCGTGATAAACAAATAGGCAAGGTCAAGCAAACATCTCGATAATCTGTCACACCTCTGGCACTAGAACATCTCTACACAAACCCCTGATAAACTGTCACCCGCATCCTCCATTGCAACCAAATATCATCATCTTTACCAGTGTAACACATGTAGAACGTTCAATTCTCATGTAGAACGTTCAAGCTAATACAATTAGGGGCTGTTTGGTTCCCTAGAATTGAATCAATTTCTAGGAATCAGATTCTAAGAATTGATTTGTCCAGAATTGAATCAGCTGGAAACTGATTCATTTCCATTTTTCTTGTTTGGATGCAAACAGAATTGAATTCCTGGAATTAAAATCCAAATGTTGTTTGGCTAACTTAGATCAGTCAGTACCAGAGGTTATGCATATGGGCAATTCTCTCGCTCACTCGCAAGTGCATATGCCACTCATCAGCAAGGCTAGACATCCTCATCTCCTTAGCTTGCTTGCACAAATCTCTCTCTATGTCTAGAGCTCCTCGCTGCATACTACCGCCGATCCATCAGCTACTGATCTATGTCAATCTATATATGCAGCTCATGCATCTAACCTACATGCCGTCACACAATCCAACTCCATGCCTGCTGCTGCTGTGCCGTGTTGCTGTAGGAGCTACCTGCTAGGAGGGAGGGAGAGAAGGATTGGATGAGGAGCTGCAAATCATCGATGGCGCCCGTCATGCCCCTCCGACCCCGTCCCGGTCCCGTCCCGTCGCATCCCACGTCTCTCCCCAACACTACGCCGTCTCCTTCTCCCTTTCTCTCTCTCTGCTGCGCCTACGCCCCTCTCTCTGAGACCGCAGTACCGCACACCGTCAGCCTGCCGTGCGCCGAACTACATCTAGATCTAGCAAAAGGGGGTGTGGGGGAGGCGGGGGAGAAGGAGTATACCTGGGATGAAGGTGGGCACAGCTCGAGGAGTCGAGGACGGCGGCGTCGGCGCACGGGCAAGTCGAGGGCGGCGGCGAGGAGCTCTGCCCAGGTCGCGCAGGTGAATCTCTGCGATGCTGGAGGTGGCGGCGGCGCAGATCAGCTAAGCCACGGCAGCGGCACGATGGAGTCGGGGAGGGAGAGTGACGGCGGCGCGATGGAGTCGGGGGAGGGGGAGAGGACGAGTCGGGTTGGATTCCGAGGGTTTCCGATGGTTGGGCCCGGCCGTCAGTGAGAGAGCAGAGAGAGAGCGGGTGAGGAAAGGGTTTTACCCTTTTTAGTTTTTCTGAAAATACTTTTTAATGCTGAAACTTGATTAATTCATAACTAATTAATTAAGAATGATAAAATTATGAAAATTTTTGTGTAAGATTGTTATCATATGCTTAATCACCAATGCTTCTTTTTAGAGACAAATATGTAACCAATGCTGGCACTTCATCCACACCACATTAAAGAGTAGACACAGTATAAAATATTCCAACTATATATAATAATTAGTAGGTACTGATAGTCTGCTACTCTGTCACACTTTCCTTTTCAAAACTGAATTTAACAAGCAACACAATCACCCTTGCATACCAATTCCACATCATTGATCCTTTTTTACACCCAGCGACGTATAGATTCAACAAAGGTTCAAGATCCCAGACGTGTCCCCATGTTTCATAAAACTATGTTTTTTAATTTCAAAATACAAATTTAGGATTCAACCTTGAAGATTTTGTGATTAAATTATTAAAGCAAATTATGCCTCAAACTACATACCAAATAAGACATAACTGTGTGAGATAATACGAATTCTCCAACATGGGTTGTGGCCCATTAGAAAACTGCACTTTGTCATTCGTGAGGAAACGAAGGCATAATTACACATATAATCATTCTAAACGCATCTGACTAGTGACTACCAAATGGAAACTGCACATAAAATGAATGCTGCACAATGTTTTAAAAAAGAAAAGGCCCTAGGCAACCAGCTCTCTACCTAGAGACTAGCCTGCCTAAGTACCTAGGCTGCTGAAATGTTTCCAGGCAGCAGGGTAGTATCCTAAGTCCACATGTTGGGTCATGGAAGTAATTTTCATGTCATGGCATGTTAAAACAGAGAAATTGACATACCCTACGCTCCATCTTCCTCCATCTCCAATTCGTCCCACTGTCCTACATAAGCGCAAGAGAGTTTAGTAGAATAATAAACATCTAAGTTGCACGGATACGGATAAGCGTATCGGTATCGGAAGGATACGGATACGCGGATACGGCAATTTTCTAAGAAACCCGATACGCGAGATACGTTTACTATTTAAAAAATAAAATAAAAGTAATAATAATGCAGGTCTGACGACCATTGTCTTAGGAAAGCCCATGGCCCATCTAAGCACCATATGTGACACGTGGTATGTCCTACCAGTGCCCTGTCCAACAACCAAACCATTCCATCGATTGCCACCCATCCGTCTCCAGTTCAGCTCTCGCACATGCGCACAGCAGCTTCCGCTCCCGCACCCCATCCCCATCTGCTCCACCGCCCGCATCCCCATCCGCCCTTTGCTCCATGGCACACCACCTCCGCTCCGCTTGCTGAGCAACCTCGAGCCTGCTTGGATCCTTTGCCACTGGTCGCCTCGCCTCCCCACTTGCCTCTCCTCGCCTCTTGCGATTGAAGCTCTGCTTGGATCCTTTGCCATTGCCTTGCCTTGCCTGCCTCTCGCAGCTCACTCGGCGGCGTCGAGCGTCGATTCGGCGCCGCGAGCTCAAATCGACGGCAGCAGAGGTCGATCCGGCGATGGCGGACCTCAAATAAGCGGCAACGAGGTCGAATCCAGCGTGTGCGGAGCTCAATCAGCGGCGGCGGAGAGTCGAATCGACGGCGGCGGGTCGATCCGGGCGGCGGCGGTGCTCAATCGGCGGCGGCATTGCCCGAATCGGCAATGCTCGGCGGCGGCAATGACGCGAGCACGCGAAAGCAACCTTGCCCGCCAGGACTCATCTCCTTCTACTCCCCTTCATGTTGCACGGCCTCCACTGCTGTTGCGGTGGGGCCAGGCGTATCAGCGAGCGAGATATCGTATCGACGGCGGCGTATCAACATTTGCGAAAATAATAAAAAATCGGATACTCCGAGGATACGTATCCAGAGCGTATCGGACACGTATCCGTATCCGATACGTATCGGATACGTGATACGTGGCTTCAGGGACGTATCCGTGTAACATAGATAAACATACACCAGGATTACAGTTTCTCAGATATACAATTCTGCACCCCTGCTCAGAAAACATTAAACAGATGTACTGCTAGACAGAATGTTTTGGTCATGCTAAATCTTTCTCAGATGAGGATGAGATTGCATCTCTTGGTCTTCATATCCTTCAAAGACTTGAGAGCTGCGCCAGATTTTAGTATGGCGACTTAATAGCATTTATAGATGATATACATACTATTTTCCCAACTAAATGTCAAAAAACATGTGAGAACAACAGCCCAGACAAGCTGTGTCATGTTCATCCAACCTTGCTATAAATAACACGCATGCATAATTTCTACCAGCCTCAAAAGCCATGGTAATTTACAATTTAGCATCACCAAGTTCATTCTCTAATGCAAATAGAAGGGGTTTTGGTCTTCTCAACTTCTCTCTGAATCTATATCTCAATAATATATCATGCATCCTTTTCCAGTGTGAACTAAATGAAAGGAACAGAATAATTTGACCTACTTTCTTATTTCTGGTGAACAAGTCTATCACAACTTACTGGAGGGAGTAAGGCTTAAGCATCTGGTAGCCTAAAGTATAGGGTTCATTCCAAACAGCAAAACAGCCAAACAGCCCTTCCGAATGAAAATAGCAGTACCCTAATGTGCACTTGCGCACAAGGGGAAAGAGAAGTACAGGACCAAATTAAACGAGGCAACCTGTTTCATCTTCTCTAACCAGCTTAGCGCCAAATATCTATTAGAGGTAGCAGCACGACCATCAGTATACCTATAAACATTTTAAAATGATACTCATTGCAATAAGGTTTCAGCCTTCTGAAAGGTCAGATAGCTTTGAATCCTATAAAAGGATAAAAACAAAGTTTTACGTGTCACTCTAAGCACAATGAGGTAGGGTATGCGGGAGGGCAGAACAGAGTTGTGGCCTATTTACAAGTTATAAATGCAATAATATAATATATGGCCATAGCCAATTTGTCAACTTGCCAAGGTAGGTGATCTAGCATACAGTACAAGGAAAGCTTCCTATGAAGTGTAGAAACTGTGAGAAACAAAAGAGGTACATGATAATTTGCTGAGTGCAAGTTCTTAATGAACATACTGTGAAAGAAATGTGTTGATGGTGCTTACTTATATGGATAAAGCAAAGGTGATGGTTGGGGAAGAGAACCCAATGTCACTGGAAATCTTGAAGATCTGCTCCGATTGGCTTGAGATTGAAACTTCAGGCATCACGGCTCGCAGCTTTTCTTCATTCAGGATTTCAGGGTTCTCTATTTGATAGGTCATCAACTTTGCAAACAACTTCCTTGGACGGAAATCACCTATCGTGTCATCAAAAGTCCTGCTGCGCTTGCGGTTGTCAAGTTCAAAAGTCAATGTAGAGAAGCGTTTACTGTCCAAGGACGTCAAGTAGTGCCCTGACATTGCATCAACTTCTTCATGTTCCTTGCTTCTTACCGAGAACACAGTAATGGATAGATTAAGAGCACCGCCCTTGTGAGATAGTCTTGCCTCGGTAGAGACACTGCTCGGGCTGCTTGAAGCTGAGACACAGATGCGGTAAGTACGAACAGGCCCGTTCTCCCGTGATAAGGCAAGGAAAATGCAGCCGCTGTTCCTGTGTGGAGTGGCAGAGCCAACAAAAGGTAGGTGCTCCTTGTCAACCTTATGCCACTCATGTTCTTCAGTGTCAAATGCATAGGTGCCGCTGCTCGGCGGATTGAGCGATACCAATATGTAGCGCCCAACAACCACATAGGACCTGACTGTTATTATGGATGGCATGATGTAGTCCATCGGGGTGAGCTTACCAGGGAAGCAGAGTGGACTCGGCAGGGGCTTCCAGGAGCACCCATCCAGGCTGAGGCTCCCATCCGCTGCCTCTGTGATCAGAGCATCTTTGAGATCGAGGACCTCGAACCAAGGCACGAAATTGGGGTCTTCAACGAAACTTGGACGGCTACAGAGGGCATAAACTCTGTACCCGACGGCTGCCACGACAGGACAGACCTTTGCGGCCACCAGTTCAGGCCCGCGGATCACCCTGTCCATGTTGGTGTCATAGATGATGATGCCGCCGGAATAGCCCCCGACGCCGACGATCCACCGTGACTGCAAGGAGACGAAGGTCTTGCCTCCTACGTAGGTTCGCAACTTAGCGACTCGGGTTTTCCCAGCTGCAGGCGCTCCCCACGGGGACGACTCGTCGGAGTCGGAGGCGACGTTCACCTTGTACAGGGGGTAGTATGGTTTAGAAGCAAACCAGTCCCGACGGCATGCCGCAAGGTACACCGACCGATCCCGGCCCTGGCTGCCGCCGATGCCCATCTGGTCGGGATCTTCCGGCTTCGGATCGCTAACAAATGGCTGTGGGTAGGTCTCGGCTCCTCCACCAACCTTTGGAACCTTGCTCTGGCGCCCAATCCCTGCGGTCGCCGAGAGGCTGGAGGAGGACATTATCGGATATCTCCGATGAGACGGCGGAGGAGGAGACTAGGGTTTCGACAGATGGGGAAACTGGGGAGGCGGCGGCGGCGGCGGCGACAATGAAAAGCTTGAGGACGAGGGCTGCTGCTTCTAGATGCCGCAAGGCATCCGATTTTTACTCAGCCAAGCGACCCACAAACAAAGGGCCACGGCCCAGAGGTAAGGCAGCTTTTTTTCGTTTCCTTTCTATAATCCAATTTTATTTTATACTACTATCTCGAAGTTTTATTGTGGGAATGACTTCTCAACAATCGAGTATAATCTGGGTCATTTTTTATGCCAATAGGATGAGGCCACGTAGCATTGTCAGTCAGTTAACAAAAATTGAGTAACAAGAATTCAAAAATCAATCGGGAAAATCGACTGAAAACAACAATCGAGTATAATCTGGGTCATTTTTTATGCCAATAGGATGAGGCCACGTAGCATTGTCAGTCAGTTAACAAAAATTGAGTAACAAGAATTCAAAAATCAATCGGGAAAATCGACTGAAAACGTGAAACTGGATCAACTGAATAAGGCCCCGTTTGGCAGGGTTTTACTTCACTAGTGAAGTTTTTTTTTTTTCTTCAGCTCCACGAACAGTTCCACCGGTGGAGCTGAAGCGGTTTTGGTAAGTCGTTTGGCAAAATGGCTTCCCTGTGAGAGCATGTTTTTAGGGGTCTGGAGGATGAGCCGGGAGAAGCCACTTTTTTTTGCTCCATCCCACCCAAAATCATCGTGAGAGTATATTTTTAGGGGCTTCATCAGTGAAGCTATTTCACTTTACCCCGTTTGGCAAAAAAACAGCTCCAAACGGCTCCTGAAGCTGGTGGAAAAGCCCTGCCAAACAGGACCTGGAGGTAACGCTTGGTGAGGCTCACGGCCCAATAGACATCGTCTCTCCTCTCTCTCTCTCTCTCACCTCGGTCCCTCCCGTGCAGTCAAGCACACACGCCACAGGCTTGATTGCTCCTTTCGTATATCACTACTCTTTTGTCATACTACTACAAGAGCATCGATGGACCCCGAAGCTGCGCTGACGAGTGTCGTGGACTCTTCTGCCTCCGGCGCCCTCCGCAGCAGGACGATGGTGCCGTCGGCGATGCTCAAGCCGGCGTATTCCAAGCTGTGGCGGCGCTCGCGCTCCTCTTCTCCAAGACTCCGGAAGGTATCTTCTCCCACCACGGCAAGGCGTCCGTTTTCGTGTACTACATCGTCATCGTTACCGGGGCGATCACCGGCTCCACAACGGCCTCTGCTTCTTTCTGGGTTGCACGCACGCCGCCTGGACGGTCGACACGTCGATGGACACAGCAAAATTTTACCTTGCAGCGCATAATTTGTCATAAAATATGTTTAGTTTGTTTGATGACTAATAGCGGTGCATAAACATATATATTATACAATCTGGCACTGCTATGTTTTTTTAGCAGCTGTCGGCCATGGTAGAAGATGTAATGGTCCTAGACTCCTAGGGCACTATTAGTAGTCCTTAAACTTGCCCTTTTGGACATCATCCGATCAGCAAGAAACAATCTCTTAAAAAAACACTCAATTCGAGTACACAAACCACTCTGAGGCTTCACATATGGATGTCACGTGGCTTCAAAGGAACTGAGACAGTTCGAGACAGTTTGACGTTGCCATCGTCGCCATGTACTCGCAAACCTGATGAAATATAAGGCTTACTGTTAACGGATAATTCAGCACGAACGAAATCTGATATCTGGAAGTTCCGACAACAGTAATATGTGCTACATTTAATGCTATAAAGTTACTCTAGTACCAAAGCGAGGCTACAAAGCATGTTCCAATAGAAAAGGCTTTGCCTAAAAATGTTTCTATGTTATGCCACACTGGAGGGTCGCTCTTCAAAGTATATATGATACATTACAAAAAGTACTTATGAATTATTTCCTTTTAAACCTAACAGAAAGCAGCGCTACGTGGAGGTTCGGAACGCTGGCGGGTTTAATCAGAGAGCATATTTTCATAATACATGTTCTGTGGGACAATGGTACTTCAGCATGTAGATGTCTAAGTTTACCTGATCATAAGTTGTCGGCCATCTTCTGACTACAACTAAGCAAGTGGCAGAAGTATCTGCAGGAGCACGTGGGTCTAGAAAGATATACGAACCTATGTACAAAAAGCATACATATTTGGACTGCATTTTTATTGTTAACAAATCCGAACTTGACTATGCGATTCTTTTTCATGCAAGGAGCAACGGGCAGAAAGGATGGCAATCTATTGTGAAACCAAATTAGCCACGACTATCCAAATAATGGAGAATAAACATTAGCATAACAAATCTAATACCTAGTCCATTGGCTTATTCTCCTACAGATCATGGAAGGAGCAAGTGGAAAGCATAATACATTGACGTTTATGTTAAAGAACCATTCAGCTGAAACTTCTCTAAAAATTATGGAACTTCTCAAAGCCTATGGTGCGTAGCCTTTGCATGCTTAAAAAAAACAGCTATCCATAAAACAAAGAATTGGTCCAGCTGTTTGCTCCAATATTTCCAACTGTGCAGCTAAGTAATTAATCTTCATATATATATGGTGCAATAGGTGGCATCAAATTTGGTCAAATTAAACTTTGGAGTACAGGAGGCACTGAAGGTAATGTTCACTTGACTGACCATGAAGCTGGCTATGGTTTGCTCTGGCGACATGGTTCAATGAGGTTTTCCTTCTGTTGCCTACTATCATGTGATAGTAAAATTCAATCCTGACTTTATATTTGTATGTGTGGGCGCGTGTACAAACACGAAGCATATAGGAGCATCTAAATATGACATATTAGACAAAATTATGAAGAGTTTCAATCAACAATGTGTACCTTTCCAAAAGGATGCATGGAGGAAGGCAAAATAGTTTTTCCAAGCTTACATTGCCTGAAACAAATCAGTATAAGATGTATAGCATATCTGCACGTAGAAGATGATCTGCAATCTGCAAATTGCTCACACAACAAAGATGATAGGCAAATTAAATCCTCGAGTAATTAGAGTTCAGATTTGCAAAACTATACACATGTGTTGGAGTCAGGTCCAGCTACCATTGCATATGAAATACAGGTTAGGAAAACGACAGTAAGTACTTGACACATCTAATATGGGCATTCCATCGGCAACATGGTATGCAACTCCTGTAGAGCCGTTCACATCTCGCTGCAAATACAAGACGTGAAAAAAGTGTGGAACTAAGAGTAAAAGAGGACCAGTACATGCGTGATGCTAAATCAGATCATCAGAGCCAGAAGCGTGTAATGGTAGATTAAGCCGTGAATGAAACACAATTGGCAGGATGAAAATACAGATAAAAAAAGTTCCATTTAACACTGTAGAACAGGAAGGGATAGAGCCAAGGAAAGGCAGTAGTGTCATAGTTCTTAATAACAGTGATTTATCCAAATCAGCCTACGATTTTGCAGCTTGAAAAAGATGACGTAGAGCAAACAATTAACATTTTTCCTAGGTTGGCTCAAAATATAATTATTACTGTAGAGCAAGAGGACACAAAAGGTAAACAATGATCCACTACCTCTGTTTTTCGCTTTCCTAAGCAACAGGTTCCAATCTATGGCTGGCAGAGTTACCTGGTGTTAGTTCTTGGAATGCAACGGAATGGACCTTGTAGACACAACTATGACTCTCAGAATCATAGGCACAATGAACAGAAAGTAAATATACATATTTCCTCCAACCTAGCAAATGGACATAGCTAAAATATAAGAAATATCATTAAGCGGACTTATAGATAGTGAATCTATGGGATTCAATATATAACAGGGCAAATGATATTTGATATTTGATATGGATTGTTAATCTTATCTTATAATATTTGAATGTAGATAGGAATAATCTCAGAAGAGCTGATGGTGCGCAGCTGACATTACCGGTCAATATTCTGTTGCCTGGATTTCCACCAAAATAATGAAATAGCAACTGACTAATCATTAGCTTTGAGTATGTAAATGATATTTTATGAAACATGTACAATGACTTTAGCCTGCCCATTCAATTGGAAAACCACATCCAGTGTTTGGACATAGATATGAGTCTGCATCAGCAGGAAAAAAAAATGAGCAGAGCAACCTCTTATTATCGAAAGGAAGACAAGATGCAAAGCACCAGACTTTTGTAATGACCATGAAGCATGGCCTAGAAAATGGGCCGGAGCGTTCGCTGGAAGATTACCATGCAACTTTATATGCGCGCACATGTGAACTACGCAACAATATTCAGGTAATAGATTCATAGAAGCACTCACCTTTCAGAGAAACCATGCATAAGCAACACTTTTCTGAAAAAGGGACCCTACAGGCTACAGTAAGGAAACAATTCAGTGTTGTTTGAAAATCTATCCTTAGAAGATGACGTTGCAATGTATACAACATGGTTGAACTATCATTTACTTTTATAAATAGTTTTCTCATGAACATAACTCAAAGAGGTGTCCCGGTGTTACGTATAGACAAACAAGCGGAGCAAAATTGAAAGTATAGAAGAATCGTTGTGCCATCATATGTTCCAACTAGAAAACACACAAATTATAACAAGACAATTAAACAGTAATGATTGTTCGAATAAATTTAATGTAACATGCCACAATAGGATAAAATAACTTGCAACAAAAGATAAACACTGCTATAAAAAAAAAAAAGAAAAATACCAATGTCACAGTATGGCTTATAGAACAAGGTAACCAGAAAAAGGTTGTATCTAGTTTCTATTTATTTGGAGAGAAAAATATACTTATGTCACCATCTCGATAGAAAAACAAAAGGTAACCAAAGACTAAAAAATAGGCATTTCCACCAAACAAAGTTATTGTATCTACAAGAGCAACATGAAAAAGCCATGATGCAGAGTTGTTTAACTAGAGAAAAAAAAATATAGAGCACAAAAGTAAAACTCTAGTTACAAGCATATGAAAGGACATAGGCAAGGAAAATATACACTTGTATAATTTCAA